AGGCACAGTGACACTTTGAGAGATGAGCTTTGCATTTTTATGGATTGATTGCTTCTTTTTTTTGAGTGAGAGAAAATGAAATTCTTGGATCTCCAAATTTTCATCAAATATTTATCGTTTCCCGTTTTACTATAATTGACACTTCTGTTTTTTTGCTCAATTATCCCTACTAAATTACAAATAATGGTTTGCTTTCTTGCATCTTTACATAATAAAAAATAAACGTATATACATGTCAATATCCTGAGGAATCATCCTCATCTGCATGAACAAATCTGTGTTGTCTCTGTTATCTAGCTTATCTATGATCATTCTTAGAAGGATGCCTGTTTCACCAGCCTCACTGAAATTTAATTTTTTCTGTGTGGTATTTCTCATATACTGAGAAAAATATTCAGGACTATTACAAAACTCATTCAGCCATCTCTCTAATAATTCAATTACTTGGCATTCTATATTGGAAAAGGAATTAAAAAATGATAAGAATCATGGAGGATAAATTTTGCTACTGCTTGCATAAATATCAAATATGTAAACAATCTTTCTAACTACAGGGCACACTGGATGGAGTAAAAATTAAACAGAAAGCTATCCAAGGCAGTTCCCACAGCCGTTAAACGTGAGCCTTGGACACATCTCAGCAGTGCAAGCTATATAAACCTTTGCTTATAGAAATAGAAATAATATTCAGTTGAATTTCTAGTAAGTATTCTAAAATCATTAAGATACTTACTTCCAGCGAAAAAAAAATGCTTTAGCTCTAACACAGCAAGTTTGAATTTATCACAGGGATCTACCAAAAATATTTAAAATTTGACAACAAATTTGAAAACAAAGTATTTGTCATATGCACATTTCAGATCTCAAATATCTTTTTTAATTGAGATATTGAGGATCATGTTTCTCAGCTACTTTTGGTCTTCTCAATGTGAATCAGGCAAGAAACGAAATGAGAGTGGTCTTGGGAACAGGATCGTGGATGACAAGGAAGGGCTGAAAAAAGAGAGGGGAAGAGAAATAGGGAGGTATGATTTTAAGAAAAGCTTAACATGTAGTAATTTCAACATAGAAAAATTAAAACGTGTGCAAATTATGTGAGAGTATATAAAATATTTGGAGCTTGTCTCATGGTATATCCACATATATGTTAATTTACCATAGGCCTTGTTCCAAATAGATGATTACTATGCAACTATTATTATTTGTTTGATATGATATGATGTGATGAGTAAACAGGTGCTAGTATTTAAGGTCCATCTGTACAGATTATGCATTTGAGAGTAGAGAAGACTTGTGTCCATCTGTGATTCACGTACAGAGCTCTAAAGTCACGTGGTATTCTGTATCCCTCAGAACTCTTAGATTTTTTCTTCTTGTTTCCATTGCCTCCCCATTTGTGAAGTTCTTCTTCCATGCTTCGGATTGCCTCCAAGCAATTTTTTTAAGAGCAGCAATCAGTAAGTAATTCAAAAGAGCTTTAGTGCCCTAGTAGTGGCACTACTGAATGAAAGTGGCTTTCCAAGTAGTGCAGAATATATCTTACTTCCTTGTATTTTGTTTAACTGTTGAGGTGCAAGAAGTCTAGCAATCTCTGGTGCTCAGGGTGGAATTAGGGATTCTTATCCTACAGAGAAAATTTGAGATGGTTCAGGCTCTTTGAACAAGTAAGCTTAAGAAAGGCTGCATATTCTTGCCCACCTTCTGCAGCTTCACAATGCACGTGGGCGTATAAAAGGCTCTGAGATTCGTACAACAGAGAAACCCATTTCCCTTTATTTTTTTTCAAAACTCAGGATTTTCTAAATTTATTTTTACCATAGCTCTATTTTGTTGCCTGATATCCAGTTGTTCTGCTGAACACAATTTTGAAGATACTAATCTGAAAATTCAGGTGAAAGGAAATTTAACATTTATTTAACCCCTATTTTCCTCATTTCTAATTGTACTTGCTCCATGTCAGTTGCAGGATTCTTCTAAAGGTAAAATAAAATAGAATGGTACAATTGCTTTGAAAAACTAAAGTGTTTATGTGCATGGGATTAAGTGTTATTATCAAAATATAGTCTTTTCTTCCTAAACTGTATGCTGTGGTTGCTGAACTTACTTAAAGGAAAGGATAGGAAACAGGCAGATTAAATTGTGATCTCCTTTATAGTTTTATTGTCTTTATTTTTGTCTTTATTAGTTGTTGAATGTAATATGATGACCAGACAGACGTTAGTATTGAGGGCATTTGTTGTTGTTAGTGCTGTGGAGTGGATTCCAGCTCCTAGTGACCTTGTGTCATGCAGAGAGGAACCCTGCCGTGTCATTTTGAGCCATCCTCTCATCTTCCAGCACTATGTCAAACAACGCTACCCTGTTATTCAAAGGGTTATCATTGTCATTTTTTTTTTTTTTCTGTAAGTAGGTGGCTAGATCCTTCTTCTTAGTCTATCTCAGTCTAGAAGCGCCGCTGAAATGTATCCCCCATGGGTGACCCTACTGGTATTTGAAATACAGGTGGCGTGGCTGTCAGCATTACAGTAACACAGTATGACAACTAACAGACAGGTGATGTGGTTCCCTGACCTAGGAAGGAACCCAGGTCATGGTTGTGAGAACACCAGGTCTTAACGACTAAGTTGAATAGCTTTAAAGATTAGGTGAGTATCTTTATGTCATTGAAATGGAAGATTTACATATACTAAGGTGAATATTTTCCAAATAAACTCATCCGTCTGGTGAGTGAGGAAAGAGCACTTTTGCTATTGACATAAATCCTGATTCTCTACCTATTATATTTTCCTCCCAAAGGCCAAATTTGTAGATAAACCCTGCTGATTACTTCTATTTCGAAGTAACAGGGAATGTTGGTTCTAATTCATCACTATAACTGTGGTGTAACACACATACACACACACACTACAAAGAAATATATATAAAAGACAAATTCAAAGATGTGCTACCTTGAGACTTTCAGGAGTGTTCACACTTTTTGGCCTGTGATGAGAACTTTCATTTGTTTGGCTGCTGTCACTTCTTAAAAGTTTTAACACAATAGAAAATTCATCCCTGCATCTATGTGTCATGTCTCTGATTTCTCTAGAAAGCCTTCTGTCTCTGTATGCAGTGATCACTCTATCTGAAAGCCCTCTCTACACTTGTCCTTCTAGAGAATTCTTTATCTTTCAAGTCACAGTTAAAGGTTATCATCCTTTGATGCCTATACTGATTCTGAACACAACTAGTTACTTTGTTCAAATCTTGATTATTGAACTTTAACCTTATTTTTTTCTTCATCTGTCTCTTTTACCATGAAGACACCAACCTTTCAAGACAAGCACTATTACCGGTTATGTTTATTTCCCAACAAAGTGACTTCCTTACACATGGTGTTCAATGCTGTTTGTGTGCAAAGATTATCTTATTATAATGACTAAATCCTACAATATCCTGGAAGCGTCACAGATCAAAGTAGCTAACTTCTGAGAGTAGATGGCTGAATTGCCAGGAACATGTTAGACACTGAAAATACAGTTGCTGACACTGGCATTGCATGGAATTATTACTTGCGTCTCAGTGGATCAAGCCTATAGAATTTTTTTGTTATGCTCTGATTAAAGATAGGTTTAAATATTGAATTATTTTCCAACCCTGTATTTGGAAAGTTTCATATAAAAATAATGAATTCTGTTATCTCTTTAAAATTGGAAGCTTTTGAGATCTTGGAACACAGGGCCCATGTTACCATGTAGTAAAAATTCACCTGGCTTGAATGGCTGCTGAGTCTTGAGACTCAGAACTACTAATTCACTTCAGTTCACTCTTATACCCAGACCATTTGTCTCATTCTTATTATCTAAATGGCTCCCATAGACATTTGAGTTTTGGTCCCTTATCTTATTGATTGTATCCCTTATAATATAACACATGACGACATTGGAAATTCATAATGAAAATATATTCTCCAGACTTCCGGCACAATAATTTCTAATTTTATTCTTTCATTATAATCGATGTTATCTGAACTGATAATATTATATGAAAATATAACCCTTTCATTATAATTAGTATCATCTGAACTCTGTACAAAGCATCATTCTATCTCTCTTGATTAGATTTTGTTTTCTAACTTTTGAACATTATATTTTTTAATGAGAAAGTTTGAAGTATTTACTTATGATGCTAGAAAATTTAGTGTCAAATTCATGTTCCATCAGGAGCACAAATTTGTCAAATCCTGTTATGTGCTCTAAACTTCTTAAATATTTTCCTGGATAAATAAAAAAAAGTGGATAAGCAAACAAAATTATTATCTAAGTTTTGGCCACTTCTCTTTTTCCTTATCCATATCACTCTTTCTTTAATCACACAAACTTTTCTGAATGAAAATTCCTTCATCAGTAATTCATACAGGGCTTTGTTATTATCCAATTTAGCAACTTTGTCTTTGGTGTATTTGCATAGGAATACCACAATCTCCTGTATTTTATGGATATAGCAGTCAACATCCCCCAGGGAGTTTCCTTCAAACCCCTATAATTTTAGGCTCTTTAATACTGCAAATAGGGAGTGCAATTCTCAAAGGATGAACTTCTAAATGTGCAAATATTGTTAATGACTGCAAAAGTGTTTTCATAGATATGTCACGATTTTGTGCTGAACCATTCCTGGGCTCAATGATGACTCCCATGATTTTAAAGTGAACTGTAAGTGGCTGTTGGTAGTTCAATCCGTTTTTAGGCAAACTTTAGGTCATATTTCCCCCATTCCAAAACAAGTTGATGTCATAGGAGCCATTCTCTTTGGGAACCATCTACACATTACCTTCTTTAAAATCTCAGCTGCTACAGTCTCAGATTTTGCCTGATAATAGCTATGTGTGAAACTGACTGAGATTGCAAGAAAAAGAGAGAAGGAGATTGAGAGAAAGAGAGAGAAGAAGCCTATGATGGGCTTCTCATTCACTCCTTAATTTTTTTTAATTCATCTAAGTGAACAATTCTGGTACCTACAAAATGGTCAGAGGAAATTCCACCTTACTGACTGAATTTATTCTCTTGGGATTAACGGATCGTCCAGAGCTTCAGCCCATCTTTGTGTTGTTCCTGGTGATCTACTTGATCACTGCTGGAGGGAACCTTGAGATGTTGGTATGGATCAGGGTAGGTTCATGCCTCCACACCCCCATGTATTTCTTTCTTGCCAGTCTGTCATGCTTGGATTTGTGCTATTCCACTAATGTGACTCCCAAGATGCTGCTGAACTTCTTATCAGAGAAGAAAACCATTTCCTATGCTGCTTGTTTAGTCCAGTGTTATTTTTTCATTGCCATGGCTATTACTGAATATTACATGCTAGCTGTAATGGCTTATGATAGGTACATGGTCCTCTGTAACCCTTTGCTTTACAGCGTCAAGGTGTCCAAAGGGGTCTGTATTTTCCTGATTGCTGGTCCATATGTCTATGGGTTCCTTAGTGGCCTGATGGAAACCATGTGGACAAACCGCTTGACCTTCTGTGGCTCCAATATCATTAATCACTTCTATTGAGCTGATCCACCCCTCATCCGACTCTCCTGCTCTGACACTGTCATTAAGGAGACATCCATGTTTGTAGTAGCAGGATTTAACCTCTCTAACTTCCTCCTCATAATCTTCATCTCTTACGTCTTCATTCTCATTGCCATCCTGAGGATGCGTGCTGCTGAAGGCAGGCACAAAGCGTTTTCCACCTATGGGTCTCATCTGGTGACAGTGACTGTGTTTTATGGGACCCTGTTCTGCCTGTATGTTAGACCTCCCACAGACAGGTCAGTGGAGCAGTCCAAAGTCGTTGCTGTCTTCTACACTTTTGTAAGCCCTATGTTGAACCCCATCATTTATAGTCTGATGAACAAGGATGTGAAACAAGCTTTTTAGAAATTGATCAGAAGAAATGTACTTTTGAAGTAAAATTACAGTGTATCTTTCTTTGTAAAATATATTTATAAGAACTAGATCCAACTTTATTTGCATTTAAAGTCAATTTAAAATCCATGATGAAAAGCTATAACCTAACGAGAAAACATTGAAGACTCAAGTATAGAAGTTTATAGTTTTATGTGTGACATGTAGTACACTGTGTGTATAAAGGGTTGGGGGTTATATACGTAAGTATAGTGGATAATTTCTCTTCCTTTATACACTTTTACATTATACAAATTTATACATTTTTATAGTAAAACATTTGATCACTAGAAGAGTATTTTATAAAAAAGTAAAATATTTCCTTTTCTGTCCTCCACCCTGATCTTCCATTCTCACTTCTCAAAGTTACCACTATTAAGAGGTTCTTATGTTTCCAGAAAATTTCTGTCTGCTAACAAATGTTAGTAGACAATGGCTACGTGTCTACACATATACACAAAATTGTTACTACACATTTTGACTGTCATGAGCTAATGTTTGGTAGTTTATAATTCGTAGTATTTACAATGCAGGGACTTTGATCCCATGGTTTAGTAAAATGTGACCACAACTGCTGATGAGACTTACTGTCACCTCTAGCAGAGAGAGAATTCATGAGAACACCCCCATGTCCATGCCTGTCATCCATTGATTTCTCCCCACTTGTGAGAGCCACTTTGAGTGAGACACCTTTCTCCTTCTGCCATAACAGGAAACAAGAACATTCAAACAATTATTTTTTAGATCCTAACTCCCGAGGCAGGCAAAGAATGGCTCTTAAAAAGACACATGGCTTGCCCCGGAAGGAATTGTGACTTCTGCAGAGTTTAATCAATGACATTCCAGCCTCCTGGGGTCTTGGATTTTCATGCCTTCCCTCATGTCTGCTTATTAATCTATTTTTCAGGTTAGGACATATATTTGCTGCTTGTACCATAGTTCAAATTTTACCCACAATTGTCTTTTGCCACAAGTAGTTATTATATATCTAATGTCAGAATTAAACAGGTTGACTTCTTTGTAAATATTTTAATGATACAGGATGCAAATGATAGGAGAAAAATCAGTACAATTTGTTAAGTGCTATAATATAAGAAAATCAAGTGCTGATGCAACAGAGGAAAGAAGCAATTTATTCTGAGGAAATTGAAGTTAGTCTTATGATTGTACAAGACATGAACTTGTTCATGGTTTGTGCATCTGCTCCAACATACCCATAGCTCTTAATACAATGTTATGTCAGACCAGGCAGGTTCTGAATAAAATAAATATTAGAATCTATTTGTCATCACATATCTCGATGTTATTTTCAATGAAAAAGGAAAAGCCACAGAACTGCAACTAATCATTCCCCCAATTGATACATTTTTCTCAGTGGAATTTCAAATCTCCCTTGCTACCTTAGAGCTCATTTTTGCTCAATATTTCCTGCAGAATAATATTTCCATACTCTTTAATTCTGTATTATCCGTTCAATTATTTCAATCCTTTTTTTACTAGATGTTGTTATTTAAATAACTTTATATTTAAAGTCAGATTGCCTACAAATTCTGTGAAAACACACATATAAACAAACAATTATTTTTGTAACTTTTGATATTTAATTAGTAGTTTGCTGGATTCTACTTAAAAACTTAGAGATCTATTACTATTTAAGCACACACACATATTCAGTTATATAAAATCAGTCCTTTCATTATTCCAGATTTTCTGATCTCAGTGTCCATGTCTCTATCTTTACAGCCTAGCTTGGAACCAAATAATGATTGTAGCATAGAAAAAAATAAATGAATCTCCATTGTGAAAGTAAACAATGTGCCTCAATTTTTGCATATATTAGACAAGGTCTTTGAGTGGAACAACAAATGACTCTGGGGAAAAATATTAGTTATACAACAACAGTATTGTTCAGAAATACAAGTGACCCATCATGTCATTGACATTTATGACTGAAACGAGCAATATGAAGCCCATAGTTACACCTATATGCATACAATTTTAAGATAAAAATGGAATTTCACTAAGGGCTTACATGCATTGACTGGCTGGCTCGAATTATGCACCAGACAGGCTATTTTTTAGTTTATATTGCATAGTGCTGGACACAGAGTAAGTACGTACTCATGAATTATTTCAGTAGATCCTGGATTTTTGCCAATAATTAAGGAATTCTCTTATATAAATTCTCCCATAAAGGATTTTTGAACAAGCTCCTAAATCCTTGCTCTTCTCTTTCTAGAGTTTATTCTGCTGGATTCTATATTTATTGAAGAAATTGAGCAATGTGATGATGTAAGAATCTATGACAGAATAGAGAATATTTACTGCATTTCCCTATGGAACAATAATTATGAGAAGGTATTTTATATTTTTCTTTCCACTTATAAAAGATCATGACTCTAAGTGGTAGCTTTTTTTTTTTAAGGAAAACTGATCTATTTTTAAAAAATAAATTTTCCAGAGAATGGTAATGCTATAAGTCTAACATTTCTATTCATATATCATATATTTCCTTGGGCGCAGTGGATCTCTGAAGAATGTTTAGACTCTCACACTCACTCATGCACGCACGAAGGAAAGAGAAAGAAAAAATAATGCTTAACAAAGTTCAGGCAGTTTTACTGTATGCTGTTCCACTTAATCTGTCCACCAATCCTGTGACTTCAGTGTTATAATCCCTGCATTAAAGATGAGCAACAGAGACTCACAGATTAATTATTAACCTAAAATCAGAGCTTACAAGAGGGGTACAAATCTGTCCGGCTTCAAAGTTTATTGTTTCTTTCCTACTATAATGTACTTTTTCCACTCTACTTTGTTGAAGGAAAAAGCCATGCAATGAATAAAACTATCATATTCTGTCTTCCCAAAATGTTGTTGATATGGTATTTGACGGCTGTATGCACACTGAATGACATAATCCATTGTAAGGAAACATCCTATTTTATAATGTATAGACAAATTTAACTTGTTCAATAAAGTGAATTTTATAGTTAGATCTTAACTCTATCATTTATCATCTAAATTAATAGTTAAGAGCATGAACTATGGAATCAGATTTATTAAGTTGTTCAACTTCTCTCTGCTTCAGTTCTGCTCTGTAAGATGAATATATAGTAACGTCTCAATAGGGAAGCTGTGTAGAAGAAATGGATTAATACAATAAAGTACTTAACACTGTGCCTGATACACTATATTCACTCAATAAAAGTTAACTCTGTTATTATTAACTACAAAGTTATTTCACTATTTGAGACTGAGTTTCCTCTCATAGTTTTCTGTATTTTTCCATTATCATTATTTGGATATAATATCCTTATAGTTTTGGTTATTTAATTAATGCCTGTGTTCTCCATGATGTAAATGCCATAAGGTCAGATATAGTGTTTGAAAGCAATTATTTCCCTATCGCTTAGCCTGGTACGTAGTCTATGCTCCCTTAAAAAACCAAATACATAGCTAGACAGACAACTTTTACCAATTGGAAATTATAATATTAGTCTTATAAGGTGATAGGAATTAGAAAACATATGAGACATTGATAGAATCTTAAATGTGCATAATTTATTCATGTATAATTGGTCTGTTTTTATTTCCTTAAACAGAAGAATTCGTCTGGAAATGATCAGCATGAATCTGATGAGGGAGAAGGAAGTTATCCTCCTGCGGTTGACCAGATGTCCAGTGCTGCAGTTTGTCTTCCTTGTCTTGTTTCTAGTTATCTGTACTCTCTTTCTGGTGGAAACTTTGAGCCTAACTCTGCGAATCACATGCTTCTGCTATCTCCTCACCAATCTGCCAATCTCACACATTCTGCTTAACTTTTTATTTAAAAAGATCATTTCCTTGACCAATTTATTGGAACAATATAACATGATCACATTGCTGTTAACTCCATGTTTTGTCCCTGCTGCTGTCTGTAACAATCACATCCACACGATCATGTACTTTACATGTAACTACAATATTGGATCTAAAGTGTTCTGCGTTTATACAGCTGCCATTGTTCGTATAAGTGGTTTCATATAGACTTGTTTAGCATCACAGTTATTTTCTCTGGAGCTGGCAACACAAACATCATTGTGTCTTGACGCTTGGTAGCTACTCCAACTAAATAAAATTGGATTTTACCGTAGACAATATTGAACCTCCAGAATGTGTTTAATGTTTTGTAAACCAGAAGAACATCTCTGCTTTTGGATCCTATCTTTTAAATATGGCTAGGTAATGGTACCTCCTTGAAAGAATCAATAGCAAAATTAAAATAGTATCTCTCCTTTAAGTTTATAACTTTTCTTTTGAACTGCCAAATAAATATAAAGAGGAAGAAAATGATTTTTGAAAATATGAGGAAATCCAAAGTTGAATTACTACATAAATCTCTTTTTTATCCATAAGCATGAGGAATCTCCATAATGTGAATAATTTGAAAGGCTCATATTTGATTGTGTTTTTATAATGGAATGCTTAAAACATTATGTTTTTTGTTCATCTTTAATGAGGGAAGGTGGTTCTTTATTTAAACAACAGAATAAAATCTCGTAAAGTAAATTTTCAAAGAATATCCGATCAAGAGTCAAGAATAATAACTAGGTAAGTGACTGACTGCAAATCTTTGGCTTTGTAAGCCTTGATTCCTCTGTTTATAAATCTTGTTTTGCATTCCACAAGTAGATGCCCAAAGGTGATCTCTTTCTTGAATTAATTTTCCTGAGTTTTAAAGAGCATTTTAGCAACAATGTGATGCTCTGAGGCATGAACTTAGAAAATTAGAATGCATGTGAAAGTATCCATTGATTTGGAAATTGCGATATATTTAAAATCATTATTTATTCTGAGGATCTTAGGTTGGGACATCTATTCTAATAGAAAGGATTTTTCCTAGATGACTTGCTCTGTTTAACGACCTGGATGACAGCCTGTTTCACCTGGACAAGACTGCGTTGAGGACAAGTTGCCTCTTGCTTCACACCTCAACTGATAGAAACATCTTCCTATGTTTGTGG